TGTTTTCATTTTTCTTTTTTTTCTTTCCCCCATTAGCAATTGTTAATGTATATTTGGATTGAGATTCACTATAATTCCTTTTCGCCCATTAAGCCAAACATTTCTCATTTTACTACTTGTTTATTTAATTTTTCCAGTCTAAGCACAATAGTTTTTGCTTTAATTTACTGCACTTGTCGGAATTCCAGACTATTTTCTCCAGCTGGTGAAGCTAATTTTGGACTGCAATCCTGAACTTGCCACCTTCCATCAAGTGCCTGCCACCCTCCATCTAAGTGTCACTTGCAAACATGGTATATGTACTCTCTATTCTGTCAAGCATATTGCTAATGAAAATTTAGAGTAGCAGCAAGCACGGAACAGACTCCTGCAGATTCTGACTTGTAGTGATCTTTTGTTTTGACAGGAAACCATCAGCAACTACTCTTAGTACAGTTTTTCAATGTGTTGTGCAACCAACTTTTAACGATTTCACCTGGACCATATTCCCCCACTTACAAGTCTGTCACATAGGACTGTATCAACCCTTATTAAAGCCAAAATATATCACATCGATTTATTCCCTATTATCCATTAGACCAATTACCCTGTCAAAGGAGAAAATTAGATTGGTTTGACATGATTTGTTCTTGACAAATTGATGTTAGCTGTTTCTTATCACCTTATTATCCCATAGGTGCTTACAAATTGATACAAATTACAAATCTAGAACATTCGTTCTAGATACCAAGCATAACGTAAATAGGATATAAGTTCTCTGGTCCTGCTTCTTTCTCCATGATAGTTAGAACCATAGCAAAATACTGTGGAGCTATATTGTATCCTTATCCTCCAAAAAAAATCCTTCACTATTCTTTCACTGGAATAGCACTTTTTGAATCCTGACAAGTTCATACAGTTGAACTATGTATTGATTCAGTGGTACCTTTGGTTTATAGACATGGAGAAAAATAAGGCAAAAACCGAGCAAACAAGGACTCCATTATGAGCATTCAGCTCATGATTTTCAGGAGGATATTACTACTGTCGCTATTTAAGTCAACCAATAATTTCTGGCTAACTTATTTGGAAATATTTTTACAGTGTATCATAACGGAATTCAAGTCCTGTGAGTATGTAAAAACACTGCCCAACCTTTCTCTACAGGCAAGCTGGATTATCACTCAGCCATCTGCATTAAAAGAAGAGAAAGAGAGAATCCCTTTGCAAGAATTGACCTTGTTGACAGACACTGTCACTACCTTGATCAAATGATGAAATTAGAAATGTGGGCAAAGGAAGATCAAATAGTCAAGACAGGTGATCAAAAAATAAGGAACATTCAGTAAGCTTTTGTTTCCCGAGACATGGGGTTGTTTGGGGTTTCTTTTTGGGGGTTTTTCATAGTGATAGCTCATGTTAGCAGAGAATTTACTCCTACAACTACCTGTAGGCACATGAGTTGTCCTACTGAAGTCAGCTGGACTTCATTTTACAGGTGCTTTTAGCAGATGTTTAATGTTTACTACATCACACATTTAACAGTTCTGAACTGGTGCAATTACCTCTCAGCAGCTGCCAAAATCTAAACAGCAACAGACACACTTGCAGTTAAGCACATATTTAAATGTTTTCCCTGTATTGGATGCACAATGTGAATGTAAATGTTACATATAGATTTCTCTCAATACAAAAAAACCCACCACCACCAACAAAATTCACTGCTTGAAACAAACTCCACAGAACCTACCTCTGCTGTTCTAATGTTTTTTCTCAGCATGGAGAGGCTTTGGTTACTTGCTCATTCCTCCCTTCCCTTGTATGAGAAGATTTATTTTAAAAAGAAATACTGAACACACAGCTGTCATGAAGATTTATAGATAACTCCTTTAGAAAGAAGCTAAACGATTTTAGACTATTGTACTGCCTTTTCTCATTTTTCTTTGAAATGTAATTTTGATACCATGTAACCAGAAAAAAAGCTCTTCTGCTCTGAAAGAAATCTGTATCAAAGGGGAGAAAAATCTGTATTCTCTGCAAAAATGAAAAATCTCACAGACCAGTTTTATTGTAAACATTTTCATAATACTGTCGTGTAGTAGGTAAAAGGAATTTCTATTCATTACTTTCTGATAAATCCTATCTCCAGCATCTAAAAATAAAGACATATTGGTAGAACAGCCACAAAGCCCTAGGTTTCTGAACAGAAAAGCTATTTATTGTTGTTATGGTTTTAAATTATGTTCAACAAAATACGATGGAAATGAAAGGTAGGAATATTCAGTAAATGAAAACTTTTTCACAGTAATAAGAGAAAAAATTACAATCTGTGTGCTTGCCATTCATATGGCAGAGTTATCACAAAATGACAGCTAACAGCTCTTTTTCTTCAAAGCAATCTTTCCTTTAATTCTCAACATTAAGTCTTTAGTTTAGCATATTTTTGCTTCAAAAACTGGTGGACATTCAGAATTACCCAAGCAATGAAGGAAACTTATCTCTGCCTATTCCCCTCACATTGCAGAAAAGCATTTCTAAACTGTAGAGGAACTCTGACTATTTATTATTTCTTGAAAACTCTCAGCAGAGCACTTTGTGATTTTCAGCAGTAATAACTATATGCACTGGAATGAGAAGAGACCATCAGAAAGATATTCACAAATCCTTTCTGTAAGGGGGGAATGATATTGTCCCAGGTTAATGAACATACAGCTTTTGGACTGTAATGTCTCCATCAATAAGCAACACTGGGGTTGCTTTAAAAATTAGGTGAATATTAAAAGTAGAAAATGAAAGATACTTAGGAAGAAGGTCTCCCCATTCCATAAAGTTAATGATGTTGAACTACTTTGAGAGACGGGAGCATTAAAACAACCTTCTACTGAACAGCGTTGGCAAATTGGAGTTGAAGTCTCTATCACTTGAAGGTATGAAGTGACAAGTAAATATCTGCTTAACAGCTTTTCTTCCAAGAGTTTGTTGTGACCAGTTTAAATAAATACATTTCTTCTGAAATCAGTTTTTTGGACACTGCAGATGATTCTGAAAACGGCCACTGCTTCTTCACCCTCTCTTCTTCGGAATCCTTTCTAAGAGTAGCAGAAAAGAAACAGTATGGAAGCATACCAGTCCTCTGAGTAAGAAGTATTAGTGTCCACTTACATCTTGTTTGCTTCCATGTAGAAGAATTCTTATTTCTAACATTGTTTTCAGGAAAATGTCTAGCTCCTGTCAGCTGGAAAATTTTCCACTCCATGTATCAATCCGAGTTGTGCATCTGCTAATGACTAAGTCATTTTAATGATGTGTTCATCCTCTCTTTTCTCTGGATCTTTTGGCAGACTAACAAATGGTATGCCCTCTTTGAAAGGAGATGTTCCACTTTGGTATGTAACACCAAAGTGTTTGATGTCTCTTGCAGCTATATACTATCTATGATTCAGGGTGACATGCTTTTTCCTAAGACAAAGTTGAAAATTATGAGTGATGACCTGGGCTGCTCAGTCAGTGGGATCCACTGTGGCCCAGAAGTCTCCGTTGTCCCCTCCCCATGAATGGTTCAGTAACAACAGTCCTAATTCTAGCACCTGGCTTCTAAATGGAAAAGCCTAATTTGAGTCTTCTATTTTTATCTGTGAGGGTCATGACAGCTCCAGAGAATGTATTACCCTTCCTTGCACCACTGTTTGAGAATGATGTCAATGTTATAATAGGAAGATGTCCACTCAGTACATGAACTAGAAAACCTGAAGTCATCAGTGCAAGTAAGTACCTGATGCTGACAGGTCTGGAAATTGTGACTGAGATCTTGTTAATATCATTTCTAAGGAATAAAAAGCTGAGGGGAATTAAGAGAGCTGCATTATTTTCATCCTTAGGTGGCCAATCCTTAAAAGAAGGCTTCAAAGTTGAATTTAAGCTTTTCACAAGTTCATAGCTTTGATAAATAATTGATAAACTAAAAATGGGTACAAACTGTACCTAAATAGCTGCCTACAAAGAAGCAGCAGCACACAAGAATTATTTGACTTCTTCATATGACTAGCGTGAGGAAGGAACCTCGTGGATGTTTTTGGGTTAGACCTCACTCTAAATTCAAACATTTTTATTCTGACAGAAGTAACTTCCGTATTTAAATTTGTAAAACATGTAGTAAATGAAAGATATTTGGTAGGGGAAGATAAGTTTCCATCACCAATGGCCATGCCAAGAAACTTCTTGGAGAGACTAGAAGAGCAGAAAAATAGATATTGTCCTATGTCAGGTTTTGTCTGCACGCACAATGATCCTGGAGAAGGAAATAAAGGATTTAAATTTTAAGAGGGTTTTCTGTGACAGAAAAAGTATTCCTTGGCAAGGAGCACCACAGCACAGCTTCCCTGGGTAATTATGGGGGATGAGTTTCCTCTGTACATTAGAGACCATTTTCCAGTTCAGCTTGCTCTGCTTCATTGCTAGAGGAGTGACAGGACATAAGGTAGGAACCAATTGACAAAAAAATCACCTATTTTGTTTTGTTGTTGTTTGTTTGTTTGTTTTTCTAAAAAGCTTGTACTGGCAAGCCAGGAATATTAAAATACAATTCTGGCTAGACAGAGATATTGTTGTAAGGGTAGAAAACGGAAGGTAGGTCCACAAAGACTCTTAAGTATATCTGAATAACTTCTAACATTTACAGGCTGAAAAGGAAGCAAAACATAATCAGGACTAGTAGAAGAATCAGGACCCAGCAAATATTTCAGCCTTATTAGCAGTAATGGATCAGTTCATTTTCCTATTTACACTCTGTGCAGCACAACTGAAGTTGATGAGCTTGCAGAAATAGATCCGCAGGGAAAATCTGACCGGGTGTATAAACACTACCAAATAATTGTGTTTATTTGAAGCATCCTACAGCCTCTTCATCTGTTGAGCCACAAACTGAAATCACAACGTTTCATTTAGGTTCAACTTATGCAAATCATGGCACATCGTAGAAGATAAGTACATATTTCTAATCTGATACAAAATGATCGACTTACATCAGAATTAAATCTCAGTTGGCAAATGTTGCATGCTATGATTTGCTTTCTTCGATGAGGAAGAGGAACCCCAAATGTATGGTTTATTACAGCTTTTTGAATTGGGTCCATCTGTAAAGACAGAAGAAAAAGAAAAATAAAAGCTTTTGCTGTTCCACCGTATGCTATGTAATTTATAGTCTCAAAACAGATTCTGCATCATGCCATATCATATCCCATACTACAGAAAACTATTTTTTTCTTTGAAAATGAATATTTCTTCTTCATGCAGTTTTACAAAGAGGTAATACAGAAAGGAACAAAGAAAAGCGTCATTAGCTATCTTGAAATACATATCCTCAGTTTAATTCTGTATGTACCAATCTCCCTTTACTGAAGAAAGCTAAAAGCTGCAAATGCTGAACAAGTTTACCTATCAAAAAAACAATATGTTTTTTATATCATAGAAAAACTAGATCATTAAATGAAACAAAAATATTTTAAATAAAATTACTAAGAAAAAGATCAATGGAAATGTGAAGGAATATTATACACAAATAATTCCAGAATAACACACAATAGGTCAGTATTATGAAAAAAGTAACAATTTCCCAGGAACCAATAAATTAATCTTTGCCATAAACCAATTTCAACACAACTTACGAAAAATCTAAATCCTCCAAAGATTATTTTCACAGTCATTTACAAGAAACTATTTTGAATAAACCCTACTTCAAGGACAAAGTTCAACTTTCATGAAAAGCATTATTCTGAACGCTGATCTGGCAGTGTATGTAAGTCAGGATCCCATTAAAAAAATGTATGATTTTGGCAGAGAATTTCACAAAAGCTACTCAAGAGACTTTTTCATGTGGAAGATTGAAATCAACTTCTCCAAAATCATTGGTCAAAATTATTAATATTTCTTTTTCACAAGAAGCATTTGACAGCTATTTTTAGAATCTACTAAAAAGCTTTACAGCAACTTGGTAAAGCTGCTGAGAGTTTTTATCTTTAAATTCTATTGTTAAAAATTCACAGATTTTGATGACGCAAATACAATTGTGTAACTGATGATAATCAGTATTCACACAGCATAATTTGTATGCATCTTGAGAAAAACCCCAACTTCTCTGCTTATGTTCCCATGATTAATTTTTTCTACTCTGTTAGTAAGGGGTTATTTGATAAATAAGGAATCAGAGCTTTTCCTTAGAGTAATCAATTATTCATGGAAGCTGTAATAGTAGACAGACATGGCCTCTACTGCAGTGAATCCAGAACAGATCACTACAGAAATTTTGCATCACCTGACAGCTGTTCAGTGTCAGATATGAAATAGGTCATTAAACTAATTTCTGTTGAAAACAAATTTAGACTGGTAAAAAAAAAGGAACAAGGAAAATGACAGAGCTTTATAGAAAGGTTTGGAAGAAATGCTCAGTTTGAACATTGTCTTCAATTTGATGTGAAAATTAAATACCTCATACATTTGTGCAACCACCAGCATAAAAGAACACCAATCCCACCTAGAAACTAGGGATGCCACTCTAACATAACACCAAAATACTGTTGGCGAAGGTCAGAGTATATCAAGCTCTGAAATGCTACAGCACGCTGTGTAAGACTTTCTGCAGTGAGCAAACCATGTGCTAGAGGCACTCATTTTACTCAGTTACATGATCTTGAAAAAGCCCACGGTCCAAAAATACTATTGTATAGACCGGAAAGAACACCACCACACAAGAAAGTAAATAGACAGTAACAGCTTTTCTTTTTTCAACTGCTCCGGTATCCAAGAGGCGACTTCTCATGTCAGCAGAACAAGTGGACCTGTCTCCTGCATTTTTCAACACTAAAGCATGACCTGGCCTTAATGGACGCTGTTTCACTACTGCTGAACTTTGGAGCTAAAAAAATTCAGGCACTGTTCTTTTTGCCACTGCAGGTCTAAAATACTTAGGGAAACCTCAAGCTGAGATATACCAATAAGTTATCACATGGTAACAAGAAACGATGCATTCTTTGATCCAGTGTAACTGCCTTCACATTAATCACAGTTGTGAGATACTATTAGTTTAGCCTTCAGTGTTAACATGTTAAACTCACATTATCTCACAAATGCCATTAAGTTAAGAAAGCCAATAAAGAAGCTCTCTAAAGTTTATGTGAAAGGTATCACCATGGTTCATAAGATGGAATAACTAATTTTTTGAGTTGGATTTACCCATTTTCTCAGTAAGGATTCTAGTTCCAAATGGGGTTGGAATTCTAGGGGAACTGATGCTCACATATTGAGAATGAGACAATAATTTTTCAGAATTGAGAAAAATCATGAATATGTGGAATATTCGGTCTATTTTGTACTTAATTTTATTTTGGTCTCATGGAAAAACATGGAGTTTCTTTCCTAATCACTCCACAGATTTTCTCTTGTTTACTGATACAGAAATCCATCTGCACGCTTCCCTTTCTCTTTCTAAAGATGCAGACTTCTAGATATCCAGCTACATGGCCTTATTGCGAACTGGACTATTTGTCTTTGTGGCTCTAAATGAAGAAGTGTTTTGGATAGCCTCCATGTTGATTAAGAAAAGCTGCTTCAAAGTAAGAATCCCTTCTCTGCCAATTGCTATTTGATACTGCAAAGCAGAATTAAACTTCAAAACTTAGCCCCAGAGTCTAATAAAGTTGGGGCAGAATGCTGGAGTGGTATTTGACATTCTTATTTTTTCCTGGAGATTTCATTTGGGAAACATGAGCAATCCATAAATTTCAAATAAACATCCAAAAGCACCAGATAAGCCTCCAGAAGTTTTATGCAGGAAATTCGAGAGAGGCAACAGGATACCTACGTGCAGCATGATAAGCACTCAGATCTCACAGACACTGGAAGACAGAGAGGAGCCCTGCTGAGAGTCAGAGGAACAAAGAGAGGCAGCTGATTGCTAGAAAATAGAGAGTGAGAATTGCAGGGAAGTATGAAGAGGGAAATAATATCATGTAGCTAGGATAATCAGCAAGTGGCGAGATACTTAACAGAATCTCCAAGCACTTCTAGGCTCACTGAATGTCACTAATTACACATATAAATTGTATTTCAACTTATGTAAGTGGTATTTGCTTTCAAAATAAAAGTTATCACAATCAACTTTGATAAAATCTGCTTTTTACTCATTACTGGTGCTATATTACAATCGCTGGGTATTTTATTTCTTAGATGCAACTGATTCAATTTACTCCCATTTACAGTGAAGGACAGAGAGGTTCGTAATTCACATGAAAGATTATGATTCAGCTGTCAAAGCTACGCAGGAAAGCAAGGTTTGCAAGATGTCCCTTTACTTCCTCTCGCCAATGTATTTACACTGTAAGTTTCAAGACAAAGAGGGTGAGCTGCCCTGTGTTTGACTTGTTCACTACCTTTTGCTTTTCTACTGTCCATCACCAGGTATATCTTACTATGTAGCACCGGCTGTGTCACACTTTTCCTTGTGGTTAGTCTAGGGATAGTACATTGCTCAAGGTTTACCATACTTCAGCAAAATTCAGGCTTAAACCAAGGGCATGGCAGAAGTTGGCCCCTTTCTTAGCTTTGACCTTACCACTCTCATTTGGTTTTGCTTGCTTGTTTCAAATTCAGCCTTGTCAGACCAATGACCATAGCCATTTTCTTTGTTCTTGTGCTTACCATAGAGCACAAAAGAGCTCTTATTCTTGTGGACTGCAGACGAAAGGAGTGGCTGTCGCATGAACTTTTCTGAACGAAACATCTACCACAAAATCACAAAGCAGTTGACCCAGGATATCCCATGTTATCCTACCTGCCTGGGCAACTATTCCAGCATCACCATAGCTGCTGTCCTTGAAGGCCTTCTGTAGCCAAGTCTCTGTCTTATTAAATTTCATTAAATATCTGCAGAAGGCAGAACTCAGGCTGGTAAATTTTACCTACAAAGAAATTTGATCCTTTAGAAATATAAATTTTACATCATTTCCACAAATAATTACAAAGTGAATCTTTTTTTTGTGTGTGAACAATTTTTTTTCGTGCTGAAACTGTAATTCAAACATGTAGCTCTTCCTGAATTTCAACAGATTTTATTATATATAATTTTTATTATGTAACTTCTTATCCTAGAGGCATAAGAGTATGCCTGAGTTAAAAACAAAAACAAACCGATAGCAAAGGAAAGCATGCAAGTTTGATCAATAAAGGTTCAAATCTCAAAAGGACATAGATCAATGGGAGCTATTTTTATTTTACTTTTTAATTGTGTATTAAAACCAAGAGGTATGACATGAACATTTCAAATACTTAAGGTTGGCAGCAAACTAATGGAATTGCACTAACATCTATAAATAAAAGCATCCAGGTCAAACAAAGAAGATTATGTGGATGCTCAGAGCCTGTTCAGAACACATGGTAGGCCTAAACCAACCAAATAAGTAAGAAAGTATTTTTACCTCAAAACCAAAGAAATTAGCTGCAAAAGAGTGACTCAAATCACTATGGTCCTATACTAAATGAGCAGAAAAACACATCAGGTCATTGAAGCTCTCAAGAAAAAATTGCTGTAGACCATTTTAGTGGTAATTTACAAAAAAATTACCCACCAAAAGACTGACCTCCATTATACGAATAGGTAAGTGAATTCAGTGACACAGCTACCCACACCTCTCAGAAGTTCTTAAAATCCAGATGCTAACACAATGCAATGTTACAATGAAAATAACATTAAAGGAATGGTATTTTGAGTACAGTGTCTTACCATAAGTCTGCATTTCTACAAACATATTTAATTGTAAGTACAAAAATCATGTCAAACAAGCACATTGTAATAATATTATACTTGCAGGCAAGGTATTAATATTTCCACATACGAGTTGAGACTTATATAAACATATTAAATGTAAAATTGATAAGAAATAAAGATAACTTAGGGGGGCTCCACTAATTCATTCTCTTATGTTCCAACAAATGGTGAAACTAATAAGAGCATTGGAAACAGTGTAAATCCTGTACCAACTATATAGACAATGCCTTACCAAGCAAAAAAGAACAAAATATTATCATATCTATCACAGTTCATACTTAGGTGAACTTAATCCGTTTTTAAAACTGCATGATG